AAAAGAATATTACCATTTTAAATTATTATTGTTATTTTAATTATTATCTGAGAACATTGTAATGTACATTAAAACATTTGAAATCCGTTCAAGTAACTACAGTAATTTAAAATTGTAACATTTGTTTCGGAAGACTTTATATTTATTCAATTATTTAACAATTATTATTTCATATCATCCATTGCATAAATTTGTATCCATTTATATACAACAATGATCTATAATTTAATGATAATAATTTTGAATTTTAATGTTTTTAAGTTAAAGAAAACAATTTTTTTTAAAACATATTTTAAGTTAAAAAATATTGTTTTGTTATTTATTGTTACGGTTCTTTTACTTTAATATTTTAAGTGTGCTTAATTATTAGCATTAAATCATACTGGGATGTCATTAATAATTNTAAAGTATGTTATATATATAAATTCTTTTATCATATAAAGAATGCAGGGTGTTCCAAAAAGAATATTACCATTTTAAATTATTATTGTTATTTTAATTATTATCTGAGAACATTGTAATGTACATTAAAACATTTGAAATCCGTTCAAGTAACTACAGTAATTTAAAATTGTAACATTTGTTTCGGAAGACTTTATATTTATTCAATTATTTAACAATTATTATTTCATATCATCCATTGCATAAATTTGTATCCATTTATATACAACAATGATCTATAATTTAATGATAATAATTTTGAATTTTAATGTTTTTAAGTTAAAGAAAACAATTTTTTTTAAAACATATTTTAAGTTAAAAAATATTGTTTTGTTATTTATTGTTACGGTTCTTTTACTTTAATATTTTAAGTGTGCTTAATTATTAGCATTAAATCATACTGGGATGTCATTAATAATTTCTAAGTTTATTATAATTTTTAAAATCTAATTCAAAATAAATTTACAGATTAGTTGTTGAAGTCAATATGTAGATACTTCCTTCAAACATATTTATAATTTAAATATAAATAGGTAACAAGGAATTGTGACTAACACCAGAATTATTCTCTTTATATAAGGGACATCCAGAAATAGAGAATGTTTGGCCATAAAAAAGTAAAAAACACTAATGATAGGAAAAAGTTTTATTAAGTAATTAGTACCAGTTATTTTTCTACATAGTCACCATTATGATTTAATCACTGGATTTAACCACCATGATATGACCATTTGTTGTAGAACGACAGTAATTTTTGGATTCCTTTATCATAGGTTTCCATTGCCAGTTCTTTCAGACAGTTAGTGACAGCTTCATTCACTTTGTCATCATTCCTAAATGTTTGAGTCACTGGGGGCTAGGTTGGGACTGTATGGTGGGTGATCAAAAATGTCCCAGCCAAATTTCTGAATCACAGCTTGAGCTGATGCAGCAAAAGGTACGTTTGTAAAATCAAACGAGTTAAACGAGAATGATGTCATCATTATTCTTATTTTATTAGACTTTTTGAACGATTTGTTTATAACTAAATGGATGTTTCTAAAATCGAAGATATGAATGTTACTAGTGCAACCTTATTCGAATTATTTTTCTTGGATTGCTTTGGGTGGACAGTTATTTCAATCATTTCACCTTTTAATTCACAATTTAAACACTCGAGTAGATTTAGAAACATCGATATCATCGGGTGCCATTTTTTTAACGAACTGAACTAACTCTTTCCTTCATGAACTTTGTTAGAGTTTCATTTGAAACGTCATCACTGCAGAGCATGCGCACTGAGCAAGACTACTACTTTTTGACCGATTCATTCCTAATGCATTTAACTCATTTGACTTTACGAATGTACCCAAAGTTTGGTTGTGCATTCTTTCTTGATTAAACATTAAACACTATTTTCTCAAATTTGATTTGTTCATAATGTGATTACCATACACTTCTGTGATTTTCTTATGAATTTATATAGGACGAACTTTCTTTGCATTTAGAAAAGAAATAACACTTTGCACTTCTCATTTGGTGGGATTTTCAATCTTTGTACATATTTTAAGCCTTCAAAAACAGTAAAATAAGACTGCTGTTATCAAAACTTTATGCGCACTCAACTAACACACGAGAGACTAAATGGAGCTTAAATTGACAGTGGTCATTCACCAGTACAGGGTGCTACGGGTAAACGTTCTTTATTTTCTGGATGACTCTCATATGAAATAGTAATTTAAAACATTAATACAATGTATGGGATATTTAATTGTTATCGTTTTTAAGATAGACATTAAAAATATCTTATCTTAATTGTTAAGCAAATTGAATTGATGGATAATTGGTTTTAATTTTGAGAATGTATGCTAAAGTAAATAAAGTTTCCATTTATACTTTATTTAACGATGTTGCATTTCAATATAATCTAAAATAAATCAGAAACACTNATTTTCTGGATGACTCTCATATGAAATAGTAATTTAAAACATTAATACAATGTATGGGATATTTAATTGTTATCGTTTTTAAGATAGACATTAAAAATATCTTATCTTAATTGTTAAGCAAATTGAATTGATGGATAATTGGTTTTAATTTTGAGAATGTATGCTAAAGTAAATAAAGTTTACATTTATACTTTATTTAACGATGTTGCATTTCAATATAATCTAAAATAAATCAGAAACACTATTAAAAATATTCTTTTTGGCGAGAATATATCTCATCTCTAAAATCACACTGCTGCCAACAGCTGCACACCTTAGAGATATGAAGGAGTACATGTCAGGTGTTACAATTTGGCACAGAGTATTTGGTGTGCACATAAAATAAACCAGACTTGTAGGTAGTCAGAGGACGGAGAACTGGATCGAAAGAAAATATGAAATTCTGAGACTGTTTCTACAAACAGGTGCGAGTGCGAGATTTGTGCATGCATTGCTCACACTCTCCGAAACATAGTCTCATCCCAAAAATGGCTTTGCCGTTTTACTTGTTTAGTATATTTTCAATGGTATTAATTAGTTCAATTTTATTGTTATTGTTTAGATTAATGTTTTTATTGTTTATATTTTTTTTTATGATTATGGGACTTACATATTGCTCATGATAGTCAATATAGTTCCAGGATGAATTAAGAATTATTTATGATGTTCAAAGTAATGTTATATAATGAAATCATTTTAATTTTGAGAATTTATTTTATTTTTATTATAAAATATATCTGAAAATTTTTCAATTTTAATTTACATAATAAAACAAAATTGCTGTAATATTAATTTCTTAAATTCAGAACATCTGTTCTACAAAAATAAGTTTTTTTGCTCTCAGAAATATAAGAAGAAAGTCTGTCCTGGAAAATTTTGCATTTTAATAAGAATATTTTTTATTTTATAGCCAGGACAACACGAAAGGGAATTAAATCCATATTGGAAAGATGGAGGAATTGGGCTTCCTTCTGAATCTTCTTACGAAAGTACAAATGAAAGAGTCTTGCCTGAAAAAACTGTTGGAGATGCAGGATTAAATTGGTTTAGAAGAGCTTATAAAAGGATCAAAGAACAGGCTGAAGAAGAAAATAGAAGTATGGAAGAAGTTGCTGCTGAAAGATGGGGGTAATTAAGGATATGTATTTTTCAATTATATTAATAATTTTTGATTTAAAGAAATAATCAAATTTTTTAAAATATATATATAATTGTTTTAATGTCGCTTTATTTTATAATAAATAAATTGACAGATTTGTAACTTTGTTACAATACTTATATTAAATACAGTGCCTATATATATATATAGGAAACTCACAATAATATATTTATATGTAAATTATATATTTTTATTAACTTAACAATATGAAATACAAGAAAAAACTCTCAGCTTGTTCTGATTTTAGAGGTGATTAAAATCATTCAAACAACACTTAAATGAAGAAAGGATTATTTAAACTTACACTTCATCATATACAGTTGAACTCAGTTATAAGAAACACGGATATAACTAGTGCACAGTTATAATGAGCAAAACGCCATAACAAGTTTAATTTACGCGTATTTGCTCGCATTTTTTCACGGTTGTAATGAGGGTGCTTCACAGATATAACAGGCTAATTTTTGGTAGTTATGCAAACACATGAACATTCTTAATTGTTCAAGTAATAAAAAATGAGATACCAAATTCTTAGAAAAGATTAAATTGAAAGGGTTACTTAGTTTTATGACCTGCATCGATTACAGTCCTATTTATTACTAACCTTTCTTTTTGGAGACCATCCTCTTTTCTTGACTAACTTCCGGCCCTACTTTGCCAATTTACTTAATTGTCACTATGACAGTAAAATTACCATAAACTCTAGTTAGAAATGAACTCTTCTACGAGAAAGACGTTCATTAAGAAAAGGAGATGTCGCTCAGTTTACGCAAAAGTAGAAATTATTTGAGAGTTGGAACATGGTACTAAAACTGTCAAAGTGTGTAGAAAGTTGTAGTTTTCTTTGTCATCTTCTACAGTATTGACATTATCGAAAAATAAAGCAATCATCAATTTTAAGATTTGAAGATAAAAAAAGACTGAAATCAGGCATATTATTAATTAGNTGCTATGACTTTAATATAACAATTAATGGCCTGTTAAGGCAGTCACCACCCATTCCTTCAATGGTTACAGTCCTCACCTGGTCCTATAATGGAATAGCAATGAGTAGTCCTAGTTTTCCATCCCTATCCTGTAAAAGGTATTATGCAAAATGTCCGATAATGGAAGTCATCGCCAGCTCCTTAATTAACCCATCACATTTGCACTGTGCTGCCTACTTGGATTAATTTAGTTGCCAAATGGACTTATTAAGTGCCTCTTATTTGGATTAACGTCGTTGCTGAAATGGAACACTTAATTGCATCCTAATAGGATTATTTTGCTGAAACTCAGGACAATACTAGATTTCACCTCTATTCCCAGGATGGGGAGGTTACCCCATCTACTCAACCAAATCAGGGATTTACGCCAACCAAATTTCAGGTATTTACGTCTATGCGCAATATCCTGTAAACTCTCTCGCAAAGCTACAAATTTTGCTGACCACAGAATGCATCTTACATATTTGTACCCAAAGAAGCCACCCATTGTTCCCCCTAGTTATGTCACTGTTCTTCATGGATATAATGAATAATGGTTATAACAAGGAAATCTTGCTGGTCCCTTAATGCTCGTTATAATTGAGTTTAAGTGTAATTATAAGTTATCTATCAAATGCAATTTGCCAAAGTGACGACACTTCAACCTCTGCAGCGATAATACAATTCAATTCCATATTTGTATATCACGTCTTACAATTTTTTCAGTTATCATACTTGAATAATGATATAAATTATTTGAATTTAAATTCTAATTTTCTCATATTGGCTATGTTAAGTTTAATTAATTGTGGTTTTTATAATAATTGTTTTTCAGTCATTAGATAAGCTAGAAAAATTACTTGCTGATGCTGAAAACAAAGCAAGAGAAAACAGATTTGATACGAGGCAACCTAAGTGGAAAAAAGAATATAGAAGAGAATCATTCAGAGATGGAAATCGGAACACGAAATTTGATCAGTTTAAAAAAGATAAAAGTGATGCGTACGAAAGTTATAAAAAGCAATTTAAGAAAACTGATGAAAGTGTAGAAAGTTATAATCGTAATTTTACGTCAACTAGTGAACCAAAATTCACTAAATCTGCACCAAAATGGATGAAGAAAGAATTTCACAATAAATATCAAGTTGATAGTAAAGGTAAAATTTTAAAAGTTTATATTAAAATGTTTTTTCTTTAAATTACAGTGGAACCTCGCTTAACGAGCACCTCGCATAATGAGCAAAACAAATTGTAAAAAATTGCCTCGCTTAACGAGTGATGAGGAGAGGGAAAATCCCAAATTGTGTGCATGCTCCATCAGTCTGTGTTTAGCACTTGTTTCATTAACATCTTAGTGTTGTTTGTGATCACATATTTTTCCAAACTTGTGTTCACACATATTACTTTTAAACATCAGCAACTATATCCTGTTATATAATAAACATGCCAAATGATATAGAAAATTATTTGGCTTTGTAAAGGTTATAATTAAATATTAGAAATTAATTAATTTGACTAGAGGTAGGCAGTTATTCTGCCGTCTCATATTAAATTTAATGTCCATTTCCAAATTAAATTTAGAAATGTCTGAATTAAAAATTAACTATTTATAATTATTAAATTTAATATGAGATGGAAGCATAACTGCCTACCTCTAGTCAAATTAATTAATTTCAATTATTTAATTATAGCCTTTACATAGCCCAAGAATTTGGCATATCGTTTGGAGTGTTTATCAAACATATTATCTGTGATTCTTTTTGTTTTCTGCAAATCGAATTCTCATTCCAGGTTGGTTCATTCCGCGCTAGAAGAAAAGACGGTGATGATTCACGCTCCTTAACAATGCACATTGTACAATTTTCTTTGAATAAACGTTATATATAAAATATTTGAGTATTTTTTTCGGAATGGAATGCATTATCGTATTTTACATTAATTTCTATGGGAAAAATTGTTTTGCTTAATGAGTGTTTTGCATTATGAGTACGATTCTGGAACGAATTATGCCGTTAAACGATGTTCCACTGTAACTTTATCTGAAGTTCTCAATTATAGTTGTCAAATTTGACAGGAACAAATTGAGAATTTGTTAAATTATGTATTTATAGAATTGTAGTTAAAAGTTGTCAAATTATGCTGCACATGTGCATTTTTTAAGGTTAAGGCATAGAAATTTAATATATATGAGTGGTGAGAAATAACAAAAAAACATACTACTATTTGTTTTTAATAAATTAGACATTTGTTGCAATCTACAACATACTAATGAAACTTTGAAATCAAAGTTAAAAGCACATAATAGTAAAATTAATATTAAGTAAAGTATAATACTCATATAAAAATTATTTATTACAATTAATTTTTGAAAGAAGTTGCTTATTTTGCATTGTATGTACTGTACTTTGTTTTGTTTTTAACTTTGCTAAATTCCTGTTGTGCTTGATTGTCATGAGAGTTGAAAAAGTCTGCTTTGCATTGCATTTCTAACTATATTAATGCTATTTTTAATGCATCAAAAGTTTCACTATGCCTAAGCACAATGAAACATTTGATGCATTAGAAGTCTGTGATTTATGCAATTATGCTTTTCTATTTTGTATTATAATAACAAATAAAAACCTAACAGTAGTGTTGATAATGAGATAGCTCAGTAGTGCTCTACAGAAGATTGCCGACAATTGTTATTATGTAAAAACTTTGTAATTTCTGGAATTAATACTCTCTGAAGTTGATTTTGGTTAATGTATTTTTGTTTTTGGATAATCAATTTTCTACCATATTTCCTGTTTTCACTTGGTTTTGAATAAATATATTCTATTTCATTATAATTTTAGTATTAATGATTAAATTTGATTCATCATATATGTGTGGCCACAGAGGGGAACAAATGAAACATTTGCCCTTCCCTAGGATCAAGTAAAAAATTCCACAAACTATAATCATAAAAACTGATTATGATATGTATGTGGGAACCTGGACTTCAACTGAAAATAATACAATTTCAGCATATATATAATTGATGATTGTCGTTCGATAACTGTCAACTTTTACTTAAGAACATCTCATCTTACATGTTCTCGATGTCGAAAACGACATTTACCTGTGACCTTTTGGCCTCCTGGCCATATGCTATGACTTTAATATAACAATTAATGGCCTGTTAAGGCAGTCACCACCCATTCCTTCAATGGTTACAGTCCTCACCTGGTCCTATAATGGAATAGCAATGAGTAGTCCTAGTTTTCCATCCCTATCCTGTAAAAGGTATTATGCAAAAGGTCCGATAATGGAAGTCATCGCCAGCTCCTTAATTAACCCATCACATTTGCACTGTGCTGCCTACTTGGATTAATTTAGTTGCCAAATGGACTTATTAAGTGCCTCTTATTTGGATTAACGTCGTTGCTGAAATGGAACACTTAATTGCATCCTAATAGGATTATTTTGCTGAAACTCAGGACAATACTAGATTTCACCTCTATTCCCAGGATGGGGAGGTTACCCCATCTACTCAACCAAATCAGGTATTTACGTCAACCAAATTTCAGGTATTTACGTCTATGCGCAATATCCTGTAAACTCTCTCTCTCTTGCAACCACCTATGGTGTATAGGTCAGTTATTTCAACATAGTTCAATGTATATATCGTGTAATCCTTTTTTTTTTCTTCAAATAAATGGTTATTAGTTGTTAAACTGGCATTCAAGTGATTCACTTCCGACTCATCTTCTCTCCAACCTCCTCCAGCGACTCGCTGTCTCTCAGATTCCTCCATCCCAAATCCAATTGCCTGTGCATGTGATTGCTTGCATGACCTAACAAAACGAAAGCTAACGGCCATAGCGGTTTCTGTGTCTTCCAGAAAAGACGCAGTAGTGTCATCCTGACGTGGACATCACCAATGCAGTGTTGACCCTTCGGTCAAGTGGTGTGGAAACAAGGGGAGGTGCTTNGTGCATGTGATTGCTTGCATGACCTAACAAAACGAAAGCTAACGGCCATAGCGGTTTCTGTGTCTTCCAGAAAAGACGCAGTAGTGTCATCCTGACGTGGACATCACCAATGCAGTGTTGACCCTTCGGTCAAGTGGTGTGGAAACAAGGGGAGGTGCTTCACGCATTGTCACATGTAACTGTGCATTGTCAATTATGGGATGCTTTGTTCTTTTGTATTGATGCAATACTGTATTCTATAATTTACTTATGAAAAAGACCCAAAAAAATTAAATAAATAAAAATTTATAGATATAATTATTTGTCTCCAAACTTTGCTCCCCTGGAAAATTTTCTGCAGAAATTCATGATCACGATAATGAGAAAGATAATGGTTTCTTCAAATAGAATTTTGCTTTAAATTTCAAAGTTTGTATTACAGATTATTAAGAAAATTCATGAAATGAATACATTACAAGAAATATTTTTTAACTATTATCTTAACTCTAAATCTAATTATTTGAATTTGATATTCTTTGATTTGACTATGATAAGTATTAAAGCAATTCAAAATGTGTTCCACAAGTTATAAAAAAGTCTATGTATTTTGGAAATGTCTATCATATATGTTTCTGTTTTAAAATAAAATAAGAAAAAAAATTGTATCAATGATTTTATTTTTATTAATTTTGACTATGTTATTTTGTATTTTCAAAAAATTTTAATAGATTTTGACACACCAAACTACATAAAGTGATTAATAAAAGTCATCGGGCACTTTTGTCATTAAACTACTTTATGCTACTTTATACTACTATTAAAATAAAAGTAATTAAAAGTACATTAAACTTTCTTGTTATTTTCTCCATTGTAATTTACTATATACAGTAGAGCGTCGTTTATTTGAATCAATTGGCGACTGGGGTTGTTCAGATAACTTATTTTTCGGATAACCGATTATGTACGAAAAAATATATAAACCTATCTCGTGTTGAAATTTTTCTCCGTTGCGTGTCACTTCGCGTTGAATTTTCGTCGATGTTAAGCCTAACGTAAACTTTTTAAAATAATAATCGTGGCTATTGTATTATTAAAAATTATTTTTTTATTTTTTACAAACAAAATAAATATATTGAAAAATATAAAAACAAAAAAATTATACTTTAGAAGTTAATCTAGTATCAAAAACGTTCGATTCGGCACGACACACAGTCCCCAGAAAAACACCACACAAAAGTGCCAGCGCTGCCAGCTAAAACACACACATCAACAAAAAAAAATATTGGAGTAGCCCAAGATGTAGCCAAAGATTGCATCACCACAGCACTAGCGAAAATTTAAATTTGCCGACTGGAATTCTTTTGGATAAACGACGCTCTACTGTACTGTACTACTACATTACTGGCAATATAACAGGAAAATTGACACAAAAGCAATAAAGTAATTAGCATCCTATAATATCAAAGTCACAAAATTAACCGGACAGCTTAAAGATATCATTATTATTTGCAAGTTTTATGAGATTTACCAATAATTCTATGGTAGTCTGTAACGGTCATATCAGTTATAAATAAAAAAATAATCCTAAAACAAGTGCACCGAAACTTGCAGCTGAATTGGAAAATTACACTGGAGTTCACGTTCACCCAGAAACAGTAAGAAGAGTCATGCAGGAAAGTGGATATAATGGTAGAGTGGCAAGGAGAAAATTTTTCTTAATGAAAGAAACGGGGAAGTTTGCTATCAGTTTGCAAAAAACATGTTGAATAAAGATTATGAATACCACAAGCACGTAATATTTGCAGACGAAAGCAAATTTAACATCTTTGGCTCCGACAGTTGAACTGTAGTGTGGAAGAAGCTAAACTACAAACCGAATAAAGAAAACCTTGTGCCAACAGTAAAACATGGAGGAAGAAGTGTTATGGTACGGGCCTGTATGACAGCCTCTGGAAATGGAAGACTTGTGTTTGTGTTTATAGATGCAAATATGAATACAGAAGGATATTTAAATATTTTAAAAGAAAATTTAAAGACTTCTGCAGTTTTTATATTTGGGTATCTCAAATATTTTCCATATTTATCAAGATAATGATCTGAAACACAATCTAATAAAGTTTGACAGTGGCTACTGTACAATTGCCCAAACACCAGCACAATCTCCCAACTTACATATAATTGAACATTTATTGAATGAACTAGATAAAAGGATTCAAAGTTATAATATTAGTAACAAAAACAAATTGAAATGTGCCCTCAAATATGAATGGACAAAAAGTGAGATAAATATCACAGAAAAACTAGTGAAATCGATGCCAAACAGATTGAAAACTGTGTTGGAAAGAAAAGGCAATCCAACAAGTTATTGAATTATTTACTGATATGTATAATTGATTTTTAATTTGCAAAAAAAACATTATCTGTCCGATGACTTTTGTTAGCTAGAGTTTGTTTCTCATTTTGTTTCTCTAAATTGGAATCCTTAACTGAAATAAATACGATATAATTTTTATTGTTCTTACAAACCAAATAAAAATTGGGTTTTAATCAATATATCAACAGTTCTTATTGTAATTTCTTCCCTATATTCGTGTGTCTGATGACTTTTGTGAGTCACTTTATAATCGGAAAATCCAAAAATCAATATTTTGGTTGATTTTAGTGACATTTCTGCTCATATGTCCCCTTAAATCAGTCAAACCCTAAAACTTAAATTTCATCTACTTCTGGATTTAATTTTATTATCTTATTTGCCTTCTTACTTAACATCTTAAATAACTATGTATTACTAAAAGATTTCCCATTCTATCTGATACTGTTTTTATTTTCTTTCCATAAAATATTAATGAAATTATCATTTGTAAACAGTAACCATAAAATTATGTAATCTGTCTTAAGGGTCAATATTTTTTTAATTATAAACCTTTATAATAAACTTAGTGGCACATAAGTCATTTGCACTTTTTATATAAATTAGTAATATGTTACTGCTGTTGTGATCAATTTTTTTTTTATATATTGGTGATCTTTGTATGTGTATTTGTATTTAGACTAAAAGCGGATTTTAATCACGAGAATATAATCATATGACTCGACTTTCTAATAAATATAAATATATTTGAGATAAAAGTTTAAAATTATTGATGCAAGATTTTAATATGTTATAAATATTTACGAATATAATCTGTGTTTACTGGTAATATTTGACGAGACTGCTCAATTATCATGTATTTGAATGTAAATATTACTGTTTATAAAAAGAAAACATATTATTTTTATATTGTAAGTTTATTTTTGCTTCCTTTTTACTATTTATTTTTTCTTCTGAAGTATAGTTGCATTATGGAATATTGACTTTAGTTTTCAAATTATATTAAATTCATTTAAGTGTAATTTGTGCCATAATATTTAATTATTAACAGTTATTATGGTAAAAGAAATTTTAAAAGAATTTTTATAAAAGTAAATTTGTATGATTGTTAAATTACTTGCTTAATGAACAATGAACAGAGATATTTCTATATAACATCAATTGAAATTTGTAGCTACACGTGTTACATACAGTTCTTTGTCTACATAAAACCCACCAGTGGCCAAGCGATTCTGTTCCCTGAACACTGTGAGTTCGGTCGTAGGTTCGTGCCTTGCCAGGATAGGCCGGCCACGTAGAGCTTTCTGGGTTTTCTCCACATCTGTAAAGCCTGAATAGGGGTCAGTTATCTTTAAAAAGACTTCCCGGAAGGCATTTCCCTAGACATATAGGCGTATCGCCCAAGTGTTGTGTTGCTGTAACTTAACTAAGCAGTCATCTACATAAATTTTTATTATTTTTATTGTAGTTTTCTATAAATATTGTGATTTTAATTGATCCAGTTAGAAGAATTGGAGAGTTGTTTTTGTTTTCTTTAACTTTTACTTAAAGTTAACTTTTTTTTATAATTTTTTGATTATATAATCACTATTTAAAATGTAATGGATGAGTAAACAAAAAATTTACTTGCTAGAAATACACTTTTTAACTCCAAGAGCTACCTAAGCATTCTATTGTCTTGTTAACAAGACAATCACATTTTTACGTAGCTCGATAGCATGCTTAGGTATAACAAGAAACTCTTAAATGTTAAATATTTATTTACTGTAGGGACTTGAGGGATAATATTTGAAACACAAGTAAACTTTTCATGTAATCATCCCTTGTGCGTAATGTTATTTGTTTAAAATGTTAGTTTTGTTTGAACTCATAGTTTTATTTTTATTATCAAATAATGATATATTTAATCATAAAATACAAATATAATCATTTGTTAACTCAAGTTTTAGATTAATGTGAAAAAATTACAGGATTACATCAGGCTATAATAATGTTACTAATTAATTAAATGTCAAGTAATTTGGCCTAGAAGAAATCAGTACAGTTATATCTACATTAGTAGTTATGGAAGCGTAACTGGTAACAGATCTGAACAGCAAGTTGGAGTTGGGGGTTCGAGTCCAACTTTATGTCCTTCTTTTCTTCCGGATCCTCCTAATTTAATTATTAAATATTAATTTAATTATAATTATTAAATTTATCAGGTGACGGCACTTAACGCGTCCCTCTAAGCTAAATAAGTTGATGTTTAATTAGTAATTAATAGGATTATTATAGCCCGATGTAATCCGATAATCATTTGGCATTAATCATAAAATAGTCTTTTGCATAGTAGACTAATTTCATTTGACTCTTTCAAAATTAAGAAATATTTTTACTGTTATTTTCTACATTGTTGACCATTTCATAATTTAAAAGACTTCGTTTGTTTTACAGAAACTGATAAGAATAATGATAACTCCATGAAAAAGGAGTGCTCACCTGAAGAAACAAGAAAAGAATCATCACTGTTAACTGATAAAGAAATGAATGAATTAGGTGCAAAATTGCTGAAGGCAGAAATGTTAGGAAATTTAGAAGAGGTTGAAAAGTTGGAATCAAAATTGGAAGGGGCTAGGAAAGCTAAAGAAGAAGCATCTTCTCCGAAAGAAGTTCCATTGTTAACTGATAGAGAAATGAATGAATTAGGTGCAAAATTAATAAAGGCCGAACTGCTAGGAAATATGGAAGAAGTCAAAAAATTGAAATTGAAATTAGCGGAAGCTAGAAAAGTTAAAGAAAACGCCAGCAACCAGGTAGAAGGAAAATCGGATGAAACTGTTCTTCTCGTTAAAACTGATAACAGAGGCTTTACGCAACCGATATCAACTTCACAATCCACTTACACTGGTAAAAAGAAAAAACAGGTAAAATTTTAACATAATTTCTCAATTTTATTTTAGAAAATTTTTAATATAAAAATATTGAATAAAAAACTTAAAGTTAAAAAGAAAGCTTTAATAGTTTATTCTTAATTCTTTCAAATAATGTTAAATTTAGAGATTAACAATAAGTGTAGAAGTGAATAAGCGAGTGATGCCAAATCTTAGTTTTATATTTAAATTAATGAATTTTTGCATAAAATAAACAGAAAAAAATTTATTAAAATATTTTTAAAATGTCATTAATTATATAAACAAACACCTTGTAAAATTGGATGAAGTTCGAATTAACACACCAACACAAAAAAAATATCCAGCAAGACATATACTTTAATGGACAAACTAATGTTTTCTACCATCTTAAACAGTCATAATCAGGTTTAACCTAATAAAATCAAACAGCAATTGAAATTAGAACATTTTTTTAAACAAAAATTACCGATCATATCAACATTCTTTTTCATCACTGTTCAAATTTATTAGGTTAAAGCTGATTACGATTGTTAAAAACGTTAATTTGTCAATTAAGTGTACATTTTGCCGGATTTTTGCTGTCAACATGTTAATTAGTCATTAAAGTATACATCTTTTAATAGCATATTAGATAATATTTACATTTTTTTTTCTGACATAGATAACCTTTACCTCATTTTAATCATCTAATAGTTATAAAATTGTTATGAATAATAACAAAACTATCAGTTTTGAAATTAGTTTTTCTCATTTTTGGACATTGAACTTGAATTTTGATAAGATAAATTTATCAATATTAAATGACTTAATATTAGTTAATTTCTCACTTGTTACTTCTACAGTTCAATAAACAAGCATTCAGTTATTGTTAAAAAGAACAAGCAATTATTAATTGTTAATTAATGGCTAGAGTTGAGGATCTCGATTTGTCCACAATGGGCCATATTTGCTTGCTAGTTTATGGGTTTTTGCAAAGCCAAATAGCCTCGGTATATCGGATGATTGCATCTCGGCATTCCCGAATGCTACGATGCAATCACTGGTCCAGCAGTTGTTTGGCATATTACTAAAATATTGGGCTTTGGGATGTTTATATATGTATATATACATCATATTGGGGTTAAGTAATGTCTGGCTGAGTGCCATAGTAGTGATTATTGGACATGAGTGCTGAAGGCATCCCCAGTTAGTGCCATATGTAACCAAGGATGGTTATATCTAAATTAAATACATCTGAAAGGGAAGATTGGGCAGAGATCTGGGTAGCATAACTGGCAATGCATCCTCATGGTAAGTGGGAGTTGAGGATTCGAGTCTCTCTCCGGGCCAGTTTTTTTTCCAGAATATTCTAAATTGTTTATTTGATCAAGTTGCCAAAGATTTTTACTTTAAGTGGTAATTAGTGAGGAAAATATACAGTAATGAGTCAATTATCTGGCATTTAGAAATCCAGAATTACCATAAAACCAGCTAGTTTTGAATTTGATGGACTATAGCACAGCTGTAGTTTGCCACATGGCTGCTTTATTTTGGATTTTGTGGTATATGTGTCAGACAATGCTAGTTCCAATATATTCTTTATTTTATTTGTTTTTAATTTTTATCCTAAATATTACACTATAAATTGTATTCTGTATTTTAAGAGAATTAATAATGATCAAACAGACTATGCTTCAGAAGTATTAATTTTTATCTGTTAAATATATTTTGCTTCTTAACTTTGAAGTATAATTTTCATTCCAGGTAGATACTTATGATGCTGGTGGAAAAAGAACATGTTATTTTCCTGATGATGATAAATATTCCTTAAAACAAATGGTAAATAAATATATTTTTAGGAAACTTGTTAAATACAGTAGCATTTTAAAATTTAAATGATATATTTACTTCTGTAAATCTTTCATACTATTTTAGTTTTTTACTGATTATTATATAATAATTACTTTTTAATGAACCTATAAATATTTTAAAAATTTTCTAGTTTGAAAAAGAAAGGAAGACAACTATTGATGATCAAAATGCTGAATTTGCAAGATTGTTTGCTAAGGTAATTGTAATGTATGATTTTTATTATTATTTTTTTATGAAAACCATGCAAAATATATGCAATACAAACTATTACAGGAATTTATTCCATTACATCAGAGCTATTAAGATTTTTTTATTTGTAACTTTCTTTTACCTGAGAAAATTTTGCATAACTCCTGGTACATAGGTATATAAAATAGGCATAAAAATAAAATCACTTACTGATGATAAATCATAAAACAGTTCTTTTATATACAAATTATTTTACTTTTTATTAAAGACAAAAGCAAATTTGCATTCTGATGAGATGAATGTGCATGTTTATTTTTACATACAAAAACTAAATCTTCTCTGAATATTTGATAATGTGGGATGCAAGGCATCTTCAGCATTTTGCAGAATTGACTGACTTTTAACCACAAAACACAACTATTTATCATGCTGTGAATGTTTATTATTCTAGCATTTTCAGTCTTCTTAATCAATTTTTAGGAACTCTCTGAATAAATTGAAAGATGTGTTTATAATGGCATGTTCACATATATGCCCTGAATTAGTAATGCAGCCTGAGCCTTGGATAGTGAAGACTGTCCCCGATGTTGGACAAGCAATAGAAGGGTTAAGCAACATAAATAAACAGTTTTTTCCAATGGAAGACATTTAAGTTGAGGAATGACTCCATGACGTCTACCCCCAGCTCAATATGGAAGTCTGGGATAGCAAGAGAGGTATGGCAGAAAATAATGTAGTGCTAGTATGGGCGGACAAATTGAAAGATATGGTTATAATGGCACAGTTCACACATAATGAGGTTGTAACAGAATACACGAACAAGACACAATGCACAGCATGCTATCTGCATACTGTTGACCATCTACAAGCAAAGGGCAAGAGATTTGCCACCATGACCCTAGTGAGAAAACTTAGGATGGAGAAAATAGTGGTTGCCTCTCTCTCAATACCAAGATTATTCAGATTTGCAAAAAGTGACAAATCTTGGCAAAGCATAAGACCAGTTATAGATATGTGTTGTTCATTCACAATCCTGCCTGGACACATGCTCGACAGATTTGTTACCAGGAATTTGTCAGTGCATGAATACTGCATAAAGCAATTGCTAGATCTAATCCAGAAGCTATAGAATTTAGAGCTGAGAGATTAGGAGTTTTTTATGGTTATGGATTTCAAACACTGTACCCCTCTATCAAGCTGGAACCATGTTTTGCCACTTGAGAGATTTGCCAATGAACAAAATCAGCAATTCGGACAGCTTATGTACAGAAGTGCTGGAGTTGGCACACTTAGCTACATATTCATTATTTTTCATGTTCAATGGGCTGGTTTATGAGCAGAACAGGTTACCCACGGACAATCCCATATCCAAGACCATCTACGAGATAATCATGAGGTCGTTGGAGAGCGCAACCATACCTAAATATAGAGACAATGTTGCTCTGTATGTGTGTTATATAGACAATGTATTATTAATGTGGAGGAAGAAACCTAATATCAGGCAATTTGTCAAAGATATTAATTTTAACTTATTTGGCTTGAAAATAGAATTGGAGCATGAAAGTGATAGTGGTGGCATTTCCTCAACATCTCGTTCACATTAAAGGGATCACCACAGATATTTACAGGAGCTGACTTACAACCCAATATTTATAACCTGATCTACATAGCCCAGTAAGGTATAGGTTGTGGCTCTTATAAAAGAAGCATACACACATTGCACTAACATACAGGACAGGATAAGAGAGTTAGAGTACTTTAAAGTGATTGTACATCAAGCATAAAACGATAAAAGGAATGATCAACAAACGGAGGACAGAAGATAGACGAACAAGAAGGTACGACAAACAGGATGGATATGCAGTCGTGGAATATATGACACTCCTCTGCAATGTTTGCAGAAAAATAGGGATTGTTATTAACAGGAAAACTGTATTTCAAAGTAATCACAGGTACCTTTTTAAATACAGTTAAAAGGTATATACAAAATGCTATGAATGACAAAGTGGCTATTGACCTGATGTGCATCACTGGGAATACCAGTAAAAAAAAGCAGGAAGCATAATGACTTATGCTAAATAAGAGCCACTAGACAGGATAAAATAGCGTAAAGATAACATCTGGAAGGAACAGCCAGTTACAGCCTTAGTGACCTATACAATAACATATTCAGATTCTGTAGCAGTAGACAAATCAAACAGAAATAATCCAAAAGGTTCAGAAGAAGTGATATATTAAATACGTGGAAGCATGGCACATTCATAAGCTTAATAGAGGGACAGGCAGTAAATTATAGAGAAAACGCTATGATTTCAACTGCCTGGAAAGTGTTACTTGATAAAAATCTAAAATCGAGCTAATTAACAGGACACTAGGAAAGATAGCATTTCGATTACAGGGTAGTGATTAATTTGCTAGTATAGATATTGTAAGTACTGAAGTAAAATTTATAAAGTATAAATTAGAATGCACATACCAGATTTTCACATGTGAAAGTCTGGCGTGTACATTTTTAAAATTTATCTTGTTCTAAAAATAAAATATTATAAACCATTATAGAATAAGTGGTTTTGTGTTTTTTAAATAGTAAAATTTGGATGTCTCCTGAAGAAGGTTGATTTAGAAGACCAAAAACATTAGAATAATAAATGTTTACTGTGTGATAAATGGTTGTATATTGTGGTTTATGCTATTGTAGTTACTGAAGGAATGACTGACATTTTGATTTTATAATTGTCAATGTTAAAAACCGCACTTCACATAATACAAGATTTTATTATTGTGAAATTTTTTACAACCCATAGTTTAAGAAGGCCTAATCTACATAAATTTTTAATGTTAATTAAGTCGCTTTTACATTTTGTTATTTTTGCAACGTTCATATCTTTTGTGAAATAGTGACAGCTGTCATATACATTTATTCATTGTGAAAGTACAGAACTTGTGAGAAGTTTGGTGATGCTGACACTGTAATGCTGTGAACAGACCATGCTCATCTGACCAAGTCTGACTTGCATTATTGTCAAACTCCTCACAGTATTCCTGAATTCTTCATTTGATCACCTGGTATATGGTATATTAATTAATACATTTGCAACTTCATGATTTATGGAAATTGATGATATTTTTACCAGGAAAATCCAATTTTTAATCACATCTAGAATATAGTTTAAAAATTATTAATATTAAAAAATTAATATTATTTTATAAATAGCGTTTTAAATTGAAATTTGTTGTTTTTACTAATATATACTATAAAATGCTTAAAATACAGTTCTCTTTAGTTGATTTACAGAAATTTAATTATTACACATAATTCAATATACAGTAGTACACTTTCATTAATATAAAGTGATTATTGTACAAGATTTTTCAGTTATATAAAAAGTTTTAATTAGGGGAATTATGTATAAAGAAAAGTCAAAGGGCTATTACAGGAAACACGTATTTAAAAATTTGTTTTTAGTATAGAGTGTTCCAAAAAGAATGCTGCTGTTTTAAATAGTTGTAATTATGTTAATTATTATCCAAGAATGATGGAATGTACATTAAAACATTGAAAAATTGTCCAAGATTCACATTTTCCCATTACAATTTCTCAATGTGTCTGTATTATGTTACATGGCACACATTCATTCGATACTCATATTCTTCCTATGCTCACTATAGGAAGAATATGAATATGGCTATGCTCACTGTAGTCACTCCTCCCACAACAGCCAAAATTGTGCAGCTCATGCAAAAACTCATTTCACACAATGATAGGTGATTCTGACTTTGCAGACTGCAGAACATATTACCTTCTTTTTCAGATTTAATTGACATAATTATAGTAATTTAAAATAGTAGCATTCATTTTGGAAGACTATATATACATATGTCAACTGTGTTAAAATGTGTAGCTTGTATTAATTTTAAAACTTATTCATTTTTTGTAAGGAAACTGTTAAACACTTGAAATCTAATAAGACTATATCATAAATTTTTTCTTTAAAATCATATTTTATGTCTGGGTTTGCTTGTAAGTGCATAACAGCACTTACAAGCAAACCCAGACAATCTGTTACTAGGAATGGTTGTTGTTGTTTTTAATCTATTCTAGTTTTAACAAAACAAAGCTTATTAAATTGTAGCAGAAATGTCTTGAAAAATGTCATAAAAATTTGTTTTTATTTTATATGAGATGCTGCATATTTTAAGTAAATTAATTTATTATAAATTACAAACAATTTAAAATCATATAAAATTTATTATTAATTCAATAAAGAAAGTAGAAAAAGAATGAAACTGGTTTGGATTAAATAAAATACAGACTAATGCAGATTGAAATTAGCAAGTGTTCATTGCATTGCAATTCTTTTCAAATTTCTTAAATGTTACTTTTACACTCATTGCCATAAAAATTAGTGCACCAAGAAGGAATTATCTGAATCAAACGAAATTGTACATGTATGAGAGTAACAGTGATGTAAGTGATTAAAAAATGAAAGCAAAAGGATAATTTATTGCAAGAAAAACTACAAATGAGAGAAGGTTCTAGTAGTCTGTTGGGCCATCTTTAGCATGAATACATGATTTAATACAGGCAGACATGGAGGCATACAAGCCATATGGTGTCCTGCAACATCTCAGTCCACAGTTGTTGCAAGTGGTCCTTTAGTTTGGCAAAACTCCTAGGCTGTCCAACTTGGCATCCCAGGTGATCCCAGATATTTGATTGGTGAGAAATTGGACTGGGCAGGCCAGGGAAGTGGCGGAGGCGAGGTGAGAATGTGGCAGAGGCATTCCTATGACACTCTTGCTGTGTGTGGTTGGAAAATGGTTCTCTGGAGCCCTGCCACAAAAGGCAACACCTGGTTGCAGGATGTCAGTAACATAAGTAACATACTACTGGGCTGTGATGGCACCCAAGATAATCATGTCAGCTGTGGAGTGGAGCCACAGCTGACATGATTATCCAAAGTATAAGCAGGATTGAGGCATTTTCTATGAGGCCTGCAGGACATGAACATGGCCATCATCATGTGCCCAACTGAATCTAGAATCATCACTATAGATGACCTGATTCCATTCCATTGCAGTCCAATCCCATCAGGAGTGATATTACTCCAAACAGAAGCGATAGTGGGTGGTGTCAACAGCAGCACATGTAATGGTTGTTGTGATGCCAAATGTTCCTCACCCAGGTACAGACAGACAAAGGGACCTGTAATGATGGCCCCATCTGTGTTCAGATGGTAGACAACGATGCAGTTGGCTGTGTGTGTGCTTGTCAGAGGACCACGTTGTCCTCTCAGCAAGTGATTGGCCGAGAGCACCCTGAGTCTGGGTGCCATGTGTATGAGCTCTCTGTCATTCACTTGTCCCAACATCTCAGTGTTGTCAGAATGGCCTAGGTGGTGGGCTATTTGGCAAGATGACCATATGGTTTCTCTCAACCTGATGATCCTTTCCCTCTCAAACTCAGTTAGTTGTTTATATGATCTTTGTGTGCAATGTAAAGGCATCTCTAGTGATACAACAGGTAAACTATAAACAGGATATCTTTGTGTGCATTTTTTAGGCCAAGGGGACACAGTTTAACTCCCTTTGCTGGCATTACACAATGATCCATCATGCTATAACTCTAATAATTTCCATATCTGCTTGAGACTTATCTTCATGCCAAGTTTCACAGTGATACAACAACTCTTTCTTGGTGCGCTAATTTTTATGACAGTAAGCATACTTGAGAACTTTTCTTTTCCAATGCTGTGAATTGTAACATTACTGTATAATATTTTAATAAATTTCATTATTATATTGGATGAAAAAGTGACTTAAATGTTATAAAAATATAAATTTTATAATGAAAATTTTGGATTTAACCATTGTAATTACGTTAAAATATGCTGACTATAATTATGGATATTGTTATGCTATTTAATGTTATCAAAATTAGCAAGTTGCAAAAACTATGCTGTATAAAAATTAGTTTATTGTAATGAGTATTTGTTATTGTCATCATTATCTTTGGGTAAATAAAGCATCTTTAAGTTATTTTCTCACTGTCAGTCTCAACATGTGGCTGATAATGTACTGTACAATCATTCAGTTATTATGTTTTAACCAGCCTGTTAAATGTGTTAAACATTGTAATTGTTGTGTGTTCATAACATAGTAGTTTAAGCTTCTGACATTTCCTCAATTATATGCTAGTTGTTATTAAAGACTGTAGCAAGCAAGTAATGCTATATGAATTATATATTAATTAGTAATAATTATTATAATTAATAGATCTGAGTTTTAAATTTTCTGTTGAAATCAGTTTTAATACAACATAAAAATTTTAGGTATTGATAGCCAATATTATTATTATCAGAAATTATTTTTAAGACAAGTATTTATCATTAAACTTTTTATGTTTTGATTAGCAGTCTAAGAACGATGACGACGAGTCCTTCTTGGTCGAAGCAGCCAAAATAAAGCCGCAGATAAAACAAGAATATCGCGACAGAAGCCAAGCGATACATGGTAAATTATACTTACATTATTCAGTTTCAAATTATATGTAAATATTTTATTAAGATAAAGATTTCCTTAAACTTTTTATGTTTTGGTTAGCAGTCTAAGAACGATGACGACGAATCTTTCTTGGTCGAAGCAGCCAAAATAAAGCCACAGATAAAACAAGAATATCGCGACAGAAGCCAAGCGATACATGGTAAATTATATTACATTATTCAGTTTCAAATTATATGTAAATATTTTATTAAGATAAAGATTTCCTAAATAAAGAATTTTGATCTATTAAATTCATTTTTCAAAAACATATGTTCACCAGTGGCCAAGTGGATAAAATCACTGGAGATGGTTGTGGGTTTGCAACTCGCCAGTGGGCTGGCCACTTGGAGTTTTTCAAGTTCATAACACCTAAATAAGGACCAATTTCCCACAGAAAGTCCTCCTGGGAGGCATTCTTCTTGGCAGATCTCTTGTGTTGCATTGCCATAAACAAATAAAACAGTCGGAAAGATATAACTATTTTATACCAGACAATAAAGTTTACTAGTAGATGAGCCTAACATTGCTCAGGCAAGTAAGTTAATTCTCATTATAATGGAGAATTAACTTACTTGATGATAACCTTACTTGAATAAACGATTAATTTTAAATTCTAAAAGCTAAAAAAACTTGTTTGGAACATTATATTTCAAATTTAGAATGAATTCAAATATTTGTTCAAATTCGTTTATTTTGGATTTATTGTTTTTGGGTTACCTGAATAGTAGAAATGATCAAATTATTTATTAACTCCTTAAGGACATTGACATTTTTTATATAGATTTCAATTAAACGTAAAAAATACTTAAAACAGAAAAAAAAACGAAAGAAATGCGTTTATTTTGAAGAAAAAGCTTTAAATTTTATTTTCCTTTGTTTCGCCTGTCTGTGAAATGTAACACCGATGAGTCATTGTTTACACAGCTGGGTGACCTTGAACACAGCTGGAGTCGGATTTCCCGGGACATTCTCATAGACGTCTCGGGAGGACAAGGGTTTAAAGTAGGGTGACTATAAGCGACACAGAAATTTTTAAATATTTTTAAAAAATTCAAAATTTTATTGCGATTTCCGACCCCCCCTAATTAATTAATTATATATTTATAAAAATATATTAATTAAAAAAATTAAAAAACCATCGGAGGTCGTTTTTGACATCAGAAACTAACTTTAAATAACTTTACTGAATGAAAATCCGTGCGCTACAACTTAAAAACCATGAAATAATTTTGATAAAAAACTCCCATTAAAAAACAATTAAGCCTTAATCGAGCCTTCACATAGGCTCATTAAAATCGCGATAAAATTTTTTTGCGCGGGAAAAAAATTTTGAAAAAATTTCGGGACCTAAAAAACATTCCAAAAATTCAAAAAAAAAAATTNTTCCAATTATTTTATTTGTTTATGGCAACGCAACACGAGATCTGCCAAGGGGAATGCCTCCCAGGAGAACTTTCTGTGGGAAACAGATCCTTATGTGAGATCAAGAGCCCGATTTTTCTCCAATTTAAAGAATTTTTTAACCCTTTTCTCCATCTCAATCATTAAGAAAACATCACACAGAAAAAGGATTGAATGTCACCCTTCTCATCAACAACTGTTAAGAAATTATAACAATCTATTGTTAAAAAATGAAAATGTCAACATTCAACCAAATAAACAGAATGAATCTAACATTTCACAAACCAAATATTACACTATTTGCCCCATTTAGACGACATCTTATTGTTTTCCCGGGCTACCTATGACCCAACACCTGCAAAACCAACCTTCGTCTCCAAAAACATTCGATCACCTGATCCCAGGCAAAAAGAGAATATGGACAACACACCCCAACTTTGGGGCAATCATCAATTGGGAACAACCTCTCTCCAATCAGATCATCCCAAGAAGATCACCACTGACCGAACCTTGATCATGAAAAAGGAAAAGAGATAGGATGCTTCACCTACTTTTGTAAACTCTCTCTCGGCTCCGTAATATGTTATCAGTGAATTTTAGTAAATAAAATAAGCTCTCCCCTTTATATGTGACTATTTACTCATTATTATACCCAAACTCCTGTAACCTTAGTTTAGATTTTAGTTATTCATTAAAATTTTATTCTTATTAATGTGAGATAGCAGAAATTCCTATATCAGACCTAGTCTTTAATATTAACATTTCGTGAGTTATGCAACAATTGTTGTCTTTAGCTACCTGAGAAAGTCTCTTGTTACATTTTCTCGAAGGCAACATAACGCTTTCTCGTGAACTATTAACCTCTGTACGGCTGAAAATCGTCCGTGAATATAGCCGAGAGACAGCCGAAAAGTTGCAGTCGCAGTCGTCGTTTTGGTCCTTGGAGAAGAAAGAAGTCGTCGTCCGTCCTTCCGACACAGAAAACCCACACCGTTTAATCCCAATATCATCCAATATCTCGGATAGCGGAATATCATCAATCAGTGGCCATCTTTTTTTGGATACTTTGTGCCATCATTGTGCTGTGGATATTATCGCAAACCTAATCATCATCGGACCAAGTCTCAACGCTCATCGGACAATTATCAACCAAATTTTTGTCTCCGAGCACAGCCATATTATCCCCAGGTAATTATACAACTCGCGCTCATTCTGTAAACTCTCTCTCTCCACGACATAACCTTAGAACTCTGTATCGTACCTAATAAACATTTTTTAAAATTAAATCTTTGTTACGGTTGAATTGTAGTGCGAGTCACTTCCTTATGTTGTCTCTCGATCCGACATTACGAATCCGTCTGTCCACTTACAAGACCGCTCGCGCGACGGTGTGACGTAATCGCCGTCTTGGTTTCCGTGTTCCGATAAACATGGTGGTGTCAATCCTGACAAGGCACCAAAGAAGTGCCGACCCGAAAGATCACATTAAGTTTGTTAATGGTGTCTGTTACTCAGGTATCAAAGCACAAAATACCCAAAGCAAAAAATGCCATCCACAGACAATGTGAGTGATTTTTGCCAAACAGTTGCCGGCAAAGGGTTAAAGCATTAACCTCGGTTCCTCACACTTATTTAGGTGTTACAAACCCAGAAAACTCCAAATGACCAGCCCACTGGCACACTGCAAACTCATGACCAGTGTCCAGTGATTTCATCCACTTGGCCACTGTGAACATATCTTTTTCAAAAATGAATTTAATAAATCAAAGATTTCCTAAATAAAGAATTTTATCTTAATAAAACATTTACATTATTCAGTTTCAAATTATATGTAAATATTTTATTAAGATAAAGATTTCCTAAATAAAGAATTTTGATCTATTAAATTCATTTTTCAAAAACATATGTTCACCAGTGGCCAAGTGGATAAAATCACTGGAGATGGTTGTGGGTTTGCAACTCGCCAGTGGGCTGGCCACTTGGAGTTTTTCAAGTTCATAACACCTAAATAAGGACCAATTTCCCACAGAAAGTCCTCCTGGGAGGCATTCTTCTTGGCAGATCTCTCGTGTTGCATTGCCATAAACAAATAAAACAGTCGGAAAGATATAACTATTTTATACCAGACAATAAAGTTTACTAGTAGATGAGCCTAACATTGCTCAGGCAAGTAAGTTAATTCTCATTATAATGGAGAATTAACTTACTTGATGATAACCTTACTTGAATAAACGATTAATTTTAAATTCTAAAAGCTAAAAAAACTTGTTTGGAACATTATATTTCAAATTTAGAATGAATTCAAATATTTGTTCAAATTCGTTTATTTTGGATTTATTGTTTTTGGGTTACCTGAAGAGTAGAAATGATCAAATTATTTATTAATTTCCAAAATGTATACTATATGTGCCACTATTTACTTTCCTTCTTTATTATTTACACTTTATACTTACTAAAACTAACTATCTTTTTTTCAATTGGAGAGTTGAATTTCCAAAAATCCCTTCTTACTGTGCATTTCATGGCATATACTACTAAAATGCAGTCAAAAGTGCAAAAATCTGCATTTCAAACAGTATAATAGAAGCCAAGTTCTTGAAGGTAATCCTTAATCTTCTATTCTTCCCTGTGGGGGATTTCCAAAAACCTTTTTTATTAGGGTGCAATCTCATGGCGTACCATACTAAAAAGCAGTTAAAAATAAAAAATTGCATTTAAAATAGTACAGTAGAAGCTGAGTTTTTTAGGATAAACCTTAACCCTCTCCCTCTCCTCTGTGGGGGGGAATTTCGAAAAATCCCTTCTTAGTGTAGTACATTCTCGTGACATACCCGAACTGTGTATCAAATTTCAACTTTCAACTCTTAACCATTTGGGCTCTGCACTTATTATTATTATCATTATCAACAACCCATCTCAATTATGTTATAAGATTGCTACAAGGTTTCATGAGCATAGTAAACTCTGAATTGTTTGTTAATTTTTGAACACATTGATGCTAAAAAAGTATGAATGGTGTTCCACAACCTCAGAAGGTTGAGAACTGCTAATGTATAGCATCAGAAAGTATGTTGTACGTAAAATCAGAATAGTTTTTTTAGTAAGTTTATTTGCTGAAATTTATTTTAAATTGCATTTCTTTTATTTTTGTATGAAGTCATATATTTAAAATAATATAATTTTTAATTATTTACAGAACACATGAGAAGATCTTCGGCTCTGGGGAAGTGTCAGTTCTGTTTAGACAGTTCCCATATGAAGAAACATTTAATTGTTTCTCTTGGAAAAACTGTAAGTAGTTGAATATTTGTAAAGCAATTGAATTAAACTGTTGTGTAAAATTAATTTGTTAATTAAAACAGTTACTCAACAGTTAATAAAAAATCAACCTGTTACTGAGGTGTATTCTATAAAAGATCTTCTATAGGATACATGCCAGTAACAAGTTTGATTTTTGATTGCAAGTGTAGTAAACTTCTGGTGTTAGTAAAGGGTTGAACAGTACAGTTAATTTTAAAAATAATATCTATTAGTTTAAAATTTTGTTAAATATCTGGAAATATTTTATATTATTAGTTAATTATTCATTTATAATTTAGTTTTGATGCAAAAGTCAATCCAAACTTTTATTACATTTGAAATTTTTTGGAAATTATTACTAATAAAAGAACCNTGTATTTACTGTGAGTCCCATTTCTTCTCTTTTTGATACTAGTTCATTTAACAGTGTTTGTAGTTTTTTTCTGATGTAGCGAGAATGACTGTGTCATCTGCATTTCTGAGATTGTTAATGCTTTGAACAGTACAGTTAATTTTAAAAATAATATCTATTAGTTTAAAATTTTGTTAAATATCTGGAAATATTTTATATTATTAGTTAATTATTCATTTATAATTTAGTTTTGATGCAAAAGTCAATCCAAACTTTTATTACATTTGAAATTTTTTGGAAATTATTACTAATAAAAGAACCATTGTGCCCCTTTCTCTCTCTCTCTCTCTCTCTCTTTTAATACCTGCAATTTTTGTCCAATTCAGATGAAATTTTGGTTGTATTCATTTTATGTTCTGACAGAAAGTATAAGCTATTTGTTTTGCAGAAATATTAGCTATAGACTAAGTGTTTTATCAATTTTGGATTGGTGATCACACTTATGTTGCAGTGACATCATTTAGTTCATGTTTGATGAGGGAATTTCCCTTAAGTCGCATTTTTAAATATTTTGGCAATGGCCTAAATGGCCTCTTCTGCCTGTACCTTCTCCTAGGGGAGGTTGGCAGCCAAAAAATACCACAAATCTCTATTGTTGTGGTCATTCATCCGGCCTCGTCTTCTTCCCCTTGATCTTCTTCCCTCAATCTTTCTTCTGATGTGAGTTTGGGGATTTCATATTTTTCTCCCCTCAGTATGTGTCCACAGTATGCTAGTTTTCTCCTCTTTATTATTTTTATTAATTCTCTTTTAGTATCTGCCATCTTTAACACCCTGTCATTAGTGGTCCTGCTAGTCCATTTGATCTTCAACACTCTTCTGATTGCCCACATCTCAAAGGCCTCAATTTTCCTCTCCATATCTTTTCGTAGTGTCCATGCCTCACATCCATAAAGCAAAATGAGCCAAATGTAGCATTTTAGTGTTTTTAGTCTTAATTGTATATTTAGTTTGTTTTCACACAGAATGTTTTTCATCTGGTTAAACTTATCTTTAGCTTGTCCAATTATGCTTCGGATTTCCTTTGATATGTTATTGTCTGAATAAAATCTTTTCCCCAAATAACAGAAACTATCTACTTGTTCAAGGTTCTCCCCTCTGCATTTTATCTTTATTGTATGCTTATCTTTACTTATGCACATTGTCTTAGTCTTCTTTGTACANAATCCAACAATGCGACCTCTCTCAAACTCACTTAACTGAGTGTAAGGTTGTCGATTGCGTCGTAGAGGCATGTCTGTCACACAATGAAGTCGAAACCACGAATAAAAGCGCAGAACATATGCACAAGTCGTCACAGCATGCACTTTTATACCAGATAGCGGAAGCATTTTTTTCCCTCTGGTGGCGATGTAACACAAGAACCTGCTCTCAAAAGCTAATCATTTACATATCTAGCTAAGATGATGTAACATACCAATTTTTATTCAAATCCAACAAGTCCTTCATGGTGCGTTATTTTTTTTGTCGTCCAGTGTATTTACTGTGAGTCCCATTTCTTCTCTTTTTGATACTAGTTCATTTAACAGTGTTTGTAGTTTTTTTCTGATGTAGCGAGAATGACTGTGTCATCTGCATTTCTGAGATTGTTAATGCTTATCCCGTTAATCTTTATACCTGCTGTTCTATCTTCCAGTGCCTCCTGCTTTATGTACTCAGCATACAAATTATATAGGATTGGTGAAAGTACACAGCCCTGTTTAACACCTGTTTTTGCTTCAATCCATTCAGATTCTTTATTTCCCAATCTAACTTTTGTTTTCTGATTCCAATATGCATCTTTAATGATCTTAATGTCTCTTTTGTCTAGTCTTAGGTTACAAAGTATTTCAAGTAGTTTATCATGCTGTATCTTATCAAATGCTTTTTTATAGTCCAGGAAGCACACAAAAATGGGGACATTCATATCGATTGTTTTTTCAGTGATTTGAGAGAGGACAAAGATTGCTTCTCTTGTGACGACTCCCATTCAAAAGCCAAATTGAGTATTATTGATGTTACTTTCAATTTAGCCATATATTCTGTTGTGAATGATTTTAGTAATATTTTGCTTATATGGTTTAGCAAGCTAATTGTTCTGTGTTCACAATGTTTTATAGTTCCTGTTTTCTTGGGTATAGATACCGTAATAGAATAGTTCATTTCATCCGGTGCCTTCCCTTTTTTGTATATATTATTTAAGATGTCTGCTAATGCATCTAATCCTTCGTCACCTATATTTTTTTTGATAAATTCAATGGGAATTCCATCTGGTCCAGTTGCCTTACCTTCGTTCATGTTTTTAATTGCATGTCTCACTTCTTCTACCATAATGTCTGGGCCTTCTTCATCTATCTCAGATTCTTCAAAACACCAAAGGTATTTTGAAGAACCTGAGATAGATGAATATTGTGTTTGAATATATTCCTCTCATGATTTTTTCATTTCTACCAAATTTGTTGTTATTTTGCCATCTTTTTTTCCTACACATCCTGTTCTTAATGGAAATCTTCCTGTTAGTTCCTAATCTTTTTATGTAGGTCTTTGGAGTTATGGTCTCTTTCCAATTCCTCGCATTTAGTTTTTAGTCAGTTTTCTTTTGCTCTTACAATTTTTTTTCTGTATTTGTCTGTGTATATTCATATACATTTGTTGATTTTTATTTTTATGCTTCTTCCTTTCATCCATGAGCTGTAAGATTTCATTTGTCATCCATGGCTTATTCTTTTCAAATTTTTTATATCCAATTGTTTTCTCAGCTGCATTAACAATTACTGATTTCAGTATTTGCCATTGAACCTCTGGATTTGTCATGTAGTTGCTGTCTTCATGTTCTTTCAGTTTGTTCTTGATAATTTCTTGATATCTTGATATAACAGAGACGTTTTTTAGTGCCTCCATGTTTAAAATTTGTTTGGGGCTTCTTAGTTATTCTTAATTTACAATAAAATTCTTAGTTATTTTTAGTTTTAAATTAAGGTTGCTTTACCAGCAAGTTGTGATCAGAGCCACAATCTGCACCAGGGTAAGTTTCGGTTTTAGTGATCATGGTCTTGAATCTTTGATTGGTCATGAAATAGTCTATTTGATTTCTGATTATGTTTTTAGAGTTATCAGAAGGGGCTTTCCACATATATAGTCTTCTCGGTTGATCACACCAGGTATTTGCTATTGTTAAGTTGTATTTACTACAGAATTCCACTAGTCTGTCTCCTTTTTCATTCCTTTCTCCTAGACCAAATGGGCCTACAATCTCCAACTCTCTACCCTTGCTAACTTTTGCATTTAAATCTCCCATTATAATGGTAATTTCTTGTGACTTAGTGGTTTCCAGTGCATTTTTTATTTTTTTGTAAAATTCCTCTCTGTCTTGGTCATTTGCATCTGTTGTAGGTGCATATACTTGTATTATGTTTAACTTAAAGGGCTTCGTATTGATTTTCACAGCTATTACTTTGTCAGACTGTTCTTTGAACCCCTCCATAATATTAGCGAATTTTTCATTCATTATAATGGCCACTCAGTTATTGTGTGTGTTACCTGCTGAGTGCCAAATTGTGTGGTTTCCAACTTTCATTTTGCCTGAATTAATCCATCTCACTTCGCTAATTCCAAGAATGTCCAGGTTGTATCCTCTCATCTCTTTTTTGGCATTATGCAACTTTGCTTTTTGATATAGGCTCCTCACATTCCAAGTACCAATATTGGCCTTTCCGCAGATTCTTAGCACCCCCTGACCATTGAAGGTCTGACGGAGACTGGGGGGCCAAGATTTGATTTGTAGAGTGCATTGTATTTGTAGGTAGACTTGGGAAAGTAATGCAGTGGTTTCCCCTTGCCTTCTGCATTGCAGTGCTACAACCTTCCAATCACTATGATCTGGCTTGTAGTTATCTGGACATGAGCCATTTTGTTATCATTTGATTTCTGCCTCAGGCTAGTATCGATAGAAGCTGTTTCCTCTATCGGGGTTTTGGGTCGGAGTTTTTCTTCTCCTAGGTATCTCTCTTAGTCTGGCTCCCACTCCACGAAGACCTGCCGGTAGCTAAACTACCGCCGGCATAGTTCTCGAGGTTGTTGAAGCACACAAGCCCCTCCACCAAGTTAAGATAGAGATACCTTCAAAGGGATTTTGAACTTACTTCATTAAATTTAAACTTTAAAAAAAGAGAGCCACATCATATCACTTCTGTAACAAATTTTTTAAAAATCCTTCCATACTGACCATGTGAAGTTTTATTATCCAATCAGAAGTAACGGTCTAACAAGCCCATTATTTAGAAAGTGTTATTGCTTATCTAACTAATGTACATACAGTTCATCTTTGTTTTATCAATGTGGAATTAAAAACACTTACTATTTTGTCCAAAAAAATACAAAAAATGTTTAGGGAAGGGTAAAAGTAAAATTGGTCAGGCAAATTCTAGATCTAAAAGAATAAGAACAATCAAGGCTTCTAAAGGCTGTGAAGTCAAACTTGAGTAAGAATGGCTTTGTCAAGGGCTGCAGAAACAGCATTACAACATCAATCATCAAAACAATATTAAGGTGTCCAGTGCTTTTTTTGTCATAGAATGCAATGGAATAGCATTCCACTACTTTTTTTTTATATATTTTAAAAGTTTTAAGAGAATTTTTGAAAATTTGATGTTTGGTCCATGTTGAATCACTCTGTTGAGCATAGACTACCTTTCCTCTACTCTTCTTCACACTCAGGCAATACCAATGAGTAGTCCCGAGTCTTCATCCCCTTTATGAAAATGAAAATGTTGAGCATAGAAGATCGGCAATAAAATTATTAAGACAGTCCTGCTCCTGCTTGTGTACCGAATCTTGTGTACGATGCATGTAATATGTTTTTAGTAATGAGATGAGCATTCCACTACATTTTTTTCCCAAAAAAAGCACTGAAGGTGTCTATTACTAAAAGAAGACAGCAAGTAAATCTTTTAAAAGACAATAGAGCCTTTACTCGGAATGTAGTATATAAAGAAATTTTATAAAGAAAGATTTTAATATAAAAGCCCAAATCTGTTTACATGTATGCAAGTGAATTCTCTATAACTCCAACTATTTTTGTCCACTCAAGGTGAAATTTTGTTTTATTATTCATTATGTTACAACAGATATTATAAACTACTTAATTTGTAGAAATGTTAGCAACTGAAATCCATTAAGAGATAGTTTTAGACTTGAAAACATTGTCTTGAATTTCTTGAAATCTGTACTCTTTTCAATTTTTTAATCTTTACTTTCTCATAAAAAGTATTACATCATGCTTGATGGGGAATTTCAAGTTAATAAATAATAATAATAATCTCCTATTCACACTCAGATTCTTTAACATTATAAAGTCAACACACCTTACTACTGAGAAAGCACATTTATTCATCTAAACAAACGTTTTCAACCCATTTCATGGGCCATCATCAGGTTAAAGACGTTTGAATCAATGGCTTTTCGAACACGTTCAAATTTAAATTATATTAGAACATATGTTGAAATAAAATTAAGTAAACAAGCATAACGAAATTAATACAATAAATAAGAAAAACGAAATAAAAGATAATAAAATGAAATACAAAATATGGTAATTCCCCACAATACAATATGTAAACATTTTTTATAGTAACTCAGGTTTTTTGAGCCTGGTGGATGTATCCTCTTACGAGTTCTTTCTGATTATGTATTTCCATGCCGATGGTAAAATGGTTGCATCTTTATAGTTTAAACATTTATCTGTTAAGCTAGACCTGTAGAACGCATAATTACCGCATACGACGACCTAGAAAAGGCAAAAAGAAAAAACCGGATGGAAGCAGTAACATCACAAAATTCACATATAATAAACGTCTATCTCCAGTTATGAAAGAAATTGCAAACTACAAAAACACCAATATTGTATACAAAAGAGCTCCCACCTTATATACGTTGCTAAGAAATGACAAAGAAAAAATTAATGAAAAAGAACAACCAGGAGTGTACGCAATACCATACAAGAACGACCAATTAGGAATAGATAAAGAATATATAGGAGTCACAAATAGAAATCTTAACGTAAGGATGAAAGAGCATAAGTATGACATAGCAAAGAGCAGATATACAACAGCGTTATCAAAAATAGCACAGACAGATGGATCCATAGTTAAATGGGAAGAGGCCAGAATCATTGCAAATGTGCACTCACCAACGCTTGCATCCACAACAGAGAAGTGTGAGATCTACAGGTCTAGCTTAACAGATAAATGTTTAAACTATAAAGATGCAACCATTTTACCATCGGCATGGAAATACATAATCAGAAAGAACTCGTAAGAGGATACATCCACCAGGCTCAAAAAACCTGAGTTACTATAAAAAATGTTTACATATTGTATTGTGGGGAATTATCGTATTTTGTATTTCATTTTATTTATATTTTATTTCGTTTTTCTTACTTATTGTATTAATTTCGTTATGCTTGTTACTTAATTTTATTTCAACATATGTTCTAATGTAACTTAAATTTGAACGTGTTCGAAAAGCCGTTGATTCGAACGTCTTTAACCTGATGATGGCCCATGAAATGGGTTGAAAACGTTTGTTTAGATGAATAAATGTGCTTTCTCAGTATTAAGGTGTGTTGAGTTTATAATAATAATAATGTTTTATTTTGATTTTAATATATATTTGATTATAATAGATATAGTTATTAATCACAAATATAACTATTTCTGTAAATGTTGTTAAAATTTTATTGTGATACATATGTTATGGATGATTTTTTTTCAATACAAATTATTAGAAATAGAACAAATCATGGAATAAAGATAAAAAATATTTGTTTTAAATTAATTTTTATTGAAACACTGCAATTATTGATTACAAGTTTTTTTTTAGTCATTTATTATATGATTAAAAGGAAAAACTTTTAGGTAATTTAAAAAAATTTGCTTTAAAATCTGAACACTTTTTACTTATACAGGGATATTTATTTCAATATAATAATATCTTTACCAAATATTAGAGTAAATATAAGTGATTTATTTTCGTTAAGATATTTAATTAACAAAGCTCATTTATACATGCATAAATATACAATTATAGGTGTACTTATCATTGCCTGGTTGCCAATCTTTAGTTGATTATCATTGCTACATTGTTCCAATGGCTCACGTTACTTCTGGTACATTATTAGACGAAGACGTTTGGTCTGAAATTCAGGTTTGTAGCCCGTTTTATCTTAATACTGATTCTAAGTAAGTAAAATAACAAATGTTTTTAACTGTAGTGTAATCTATAATGTTTTTAATGTAAGTTTGATTGTATTGAATGTAATTAAATTCAGTTTAATAATTAATCTTTCAAAAAACATATTTATTATTTCTATTGTATTTTAATTTAATACAGACCTTGAAAAAATGCCTGATTAAAATGTTTGACGAAATGGATAAAACTGTTATATTTATGGAGACAAGTGTTCATCATAGATGGCATCCTCATTGTTTTATTGAATGCATTCCTGTACCAAAAGAAGATGGTGATATGGCTCCTATGTACTTCAAGGTATTTATTATTATTAATGTCATTGTGTACTTGTTTTCAAAACATTGTCAGTTTTAAATATATCATATACTGTAGACTCTGTTTGATCAAGAAATATTACTGTATTTATACAAACTAGCATGCAGATCTTTACAATTTCTACATTTCTACAAAGCACATGATTTGAGATTCTAGCCTTGACTTTTTTATTAATTCATTCTCAAAGGAAGCCATAACATTCACTATTCTTGCTCTCTGCTAGAGGCAAACTTCAATTACAAACTTTACAATTTACTTTTAATGCCAGTTTGGGTAGTGTTTTTATTAATTAGTTCATAACATAACATTAACACGTTAAAAGTTTAATAATTGAATGGTTCATTTCAAAGCATGTATGCTTTTCAGTGTAAAATCATTTGCCTTTTTTGAACTTAATAACATCAAATATTGTACAGGATTATTCATAAACTGCACAACTGATACTATATTTTTTAACATTGAAATAAAGGGTAAACTCTCCAAGATTTTTTATGTGAGTCACAAATGTTCAATTTGTCCATCTTTGCTGATGTGACAGATATTTAGCTGATAATCCATTTTCTTCCATGTGCATGTCAGTTCAGTCTCTTGCAGAGAATGTGCCAGGCAAGGTACCGACTTCTAACCTTACATGTGTAGACTTGCAGGGGCTATGCTCATAGATTTGTCGAACACAATCTACAGTATTTTCACTTGGTCCTGAGCATCCAGGACAAGGAGCAGTGAAGAAACAGCCTTCATCCTGGAATTTTACATACTATTTCAGGATGTTTACATGGGTGGCTCCTTATGGAATTCTGCCCAAAATTGCTGCTGTACAATTACAACAAGCAAGGTTCCTGCACATTCCAACACACAAGATGACTTTTCATATTTGCTTATCGCCATATTTGCTACTATTGCCTCCTAGCAACAAATCACAGCAACTATATTTAAAAAATTGAATACAAATGATGTACTGTGTATCCATAGTATCGACAATAAAATAAATTCTAGAATTATAAATATTTAAGTATTTAGATATGAATTAATGATTTTAATATGAAATACCATATCTAGCAACATTATTAAGATTTCTGAAAAAAATTTATTACTGAAATTAATTTTTCATTAAAATTATTCATTTACTCTAATTTTATTATAGTATTTGTATTAAGTATAGTTGTTATATCAATGAACTTACATTATTAACAAATGATAAGTACTGTCCATATATAATGTTTGTTGTTGTTATTCTAAAACTTTTGTTTATTCTTTTTTAGAAAGCCATTATGGAATCTGAAACAGAATGGTCACTTAACAAGAAATTAATTGATCTTTACAAGAAAGATCTTCTTCATTCGGTAAGTTTAATTTTTAAGTTAATCTGCAAGTATACTTATAATTCCTATGTATAACCAAAGAAAGAAAAAAAGATCTAAATTGCCTTTATTGTTGGAATTGCCAACTACACATATATTAAATAATTCTTTAAATTCCATAATCCTGTGTGTGCAGGTGTAAAGGAACTCTTTTGGTGATTAAATGATCCAAAACACAGAAATTTAACTTCATTTACTGTTTATTTCAAGCATTATTAGATGCATTTTGGGCTGACTTTCATTTTACAGCCCTTCATCAGTAACTAGTATTATTTAAAAGATATTTTTTAACTAATTTTGTATTTATATATAACAAATTTAATGAATAACCCTTACTTGTAGGCCTGGAATGCATTTGATAATGGATGAAATCAACCAGAGTAGATGAAATTAAAATTCTACATTTTGAATCATTGAATCACAGTCTTCCTTTACACTTGCAAACACAAGATTACAGAATTTAAAAAATTTTTTCATCTAAATTTCGATTTATCAAAAGAAACTTAATTTATATTACCAGTTTAAGTGGAAATCATGTTATTTTAATTCAAAAATTTTCCCCTGAAAGGGGTTAAATGACTGGCTTGACACTCTTGCTAACAGGAAAAGTATGGTGCACAGGAGCAAGTCACTACTAATTTGAGGTGGAGAGCATATATTTTAAATTAAATAACTTAATAATGTGATTAAAAATTACAGTCAAGTTTTAACACCAACAAAATAAATTTTCATTTTAAAATTTTTAGATGAAAACATTTCAATCTGAAGCATATTCTTCTAAATATTTAACGTTACAGTTTTAAGTACATACAAGGTCTGTTCAAAAAGTATCGGACCTTTGGTCGGCAAAAATAAATTTATTGACTTTGAGGTACAAATGATTCTAAGTAAGTAAAATAACAAATGTTTTTAACTGTAGTGTAATCTATAATGTTTTTAATGTAAGTTTGATTGTATTGAATGTAATTAAATTCAGTTTAATAATTAATCTTTCAAAAAACATATTTATTATTTCTATTGTATTTTAATTTAATACAGACCTTGAAAAAATGCCTGATTAAAATGTTTGACGAAATGGATAAAACTGTTATATTTATGGAGACAAGTGTTCATCATAGATGGCATCCTCATTGTTTTATTGAATGCATTCCTGTACCAAAAGAAGATGGTGATATGGCTCCTATGTACTTCAAGGTATTTATTATTATTAATGTCATTGTGTACTTGTTTTCAAAACATTGTCAGTTTTAAATATATCATATACTGTAGACTCTGTTTGATCAAGAAATATTACTGTATTTATACAAACTAGCATGCAGATCTTTACAATTTCTACATTTCTACAAAGCACATGATTTGAGATTCTAGCCTTGACTTTTTTATTAATTCATTCTCAAAGGAAGCCATAACATTCACTATTCTTGCTCTCTGCTAGAGGCAAACTTCAATTACAAACTTTACAATTTACTTTTAATGCCAGTTTGGGTAGTGTTTTTATTAATTAGTTCATAACATAACATTAACACGTTAAANTCCAACGAGAGCGCACTACATGACCTCACTCATACGCCGATTGCCAACGACTGACGCTTTCTGCAGGCGGGAAAAAATTCAGGGCTGTGCATGACTGTCCCCTCCACAACTCCACCGAAGGAGGCCTCTCTCGCAATCATTGGTTTACGCGGAAAAAAATAAGGTCCGATACTTTTTGAACAGACCTTGTACAGTATACTCTCGATTATCCGTGTAATGATTAACCGTGAATGCTTATGTCTGGAATACAAGTACTGTATGAGCAATAAAATAAATTCTGCACTGTTAACTCCTTCTATTTAAAGTGGTATGTTGAGCATTTAACCTAATTTATACCTTTTATTCAGCTTACAGGCATGGAAATTTGGGTTCAAATTCAATTTGGGGCTTTTTTTCTTAAATAGTAGGATCGATTTTTTTTTCATCCCTCGTTCCTACTGACCGACTCCATTAATTATTAATACCCAAGCTTCTCCAAAATTTGTAAACTTGTGTGTCGAGAAAATTCCATCTTACGTAATAAACAATACGTAGAAATGACACACTGGATCCTCTTTTGTCTTCAGAATGGACATGCAACAAAATTATTGTATCCATATAAAACATTAAAGCAATTTTTCTAAAATTATCAATAAATCTTTATCAGTTTATGTAAAGACATTTATTTTATCTCAGGTCCCAAAAGGTTTGCCATACTTTAGTGTGGAATTTGGTACGAGCGGTGGATTTGCCCACGTTGTAGAAGACGAAAAGCTATTTCCATCGTATTTCGGAAAAGTAAGACTCAAATTTAACTTTTTAAATAATGATTTTTGCGAGTAGATAACATAATTTTCAATATTTTAAAGGAAGTCATCGGTGGAATATTGGACGTGGAACCGGTCAGGTGGAGGAAGCCACCGAGAGAACCTTTTGAAAATCAGTCAAAGAAAGTTTTAGAATTCACACAATTATGGAAAAAGTATGATTTGTTGCAGAAACAATGACTCATTCGCTGCTTTAATGAGCACAGAATGAGTCATTGTTTCTGCATTGAAAAAGAATCATCTGTAAATATTCTTTGTATTGTTTCATAAATAAAATCATCCACAGACAACATAAATAATGTTTGGTAAATTGAATATTTATTAGAGATGGATGAATACTATTCACGAATACTACAAATACTTCCAATATGGTGTCATACGTAGTCACGGAGCAGATCCAGAAGTACCCCAAGAGGGGCTAATTCAAATATGAAATATTCACGCCCCAATTTATTTGCGGATTGTTGTATAAACCATGGCTTTGTTCACTCGCCCACCAGTGGCTGAGTGGACAAAACCACGGAACATTATTATTTGATGGTGGGTTCACGCCTGGCCAATGGGCAAACAATGTGGAGTTTGCTGTTTTTTGACATTGGTAACATCTAAATAGGGGCAGTTTCCCATAGAAATTATTTTCGAGAAGTAAAGGGGAGATCTCGGTAGATCGCCCATGTGTTACGTTGCCGTAAACAAATAAACCATATTTTCCATCATATTAATTTTTTTCTCAATGGTACTGTTTATGTGAAATAGCTAGAAAAAGCAACTTAAAAAAATAAAAATTAAGAGTTTAAAGTTTTATTTCCTAGAATTTAGTATTGTTTTTGTTTTACTTCATTAATATATTGAATTAATTGTTAAACAAGTAAAACGGCAAAACCGTATTTGGGACAAGACTATGTCTCGGAGACTCACTACTAAGGGGAGTCACTTTGACACTCAAGGCGGCTCTCCTTCTCATTCTCCAATCTTTGGTATCACTGTTTTTGGGCGCGATCTTTCAAACTTCGCCAGCCACGATGCATTTTCGATGAAATTAACCTATCCAATTTCGAAATTTCTCTCCGTTGCGTGTCGGCCCGGGTTGAATTTTTGTCGATGCGTAACGAAAATTTCCCGTTTTTGAAAAAATAATCGTGGCTATTGTATCGTCCGAAATTATTTTTTTTTTTATTTTGCACAAACAATATACAGTTTAACCCGATTATAACGTCGTCGGATATAACGACAACCCTAATATAACGTCAAATTTTTATCGGTCCCAAGATTTTACTATACTAGATAATGTTAAAAAAACCCTCCACTTGTAACGACACCCTGTTTTAATGTCATATTTGAAGCACTTCCAAATTTAAAAAATTAGATTACAAATTTTATTTAACATAGAAGAAACTGTGTGTTCGGTCCTAAGGTCAGAGTTCACTTCTCAGAATGACTGTGGGTGGTACTCTTCCCAGCTAACTTCGGTGGGGTGAGGTGCCTGTTTTGCCTGTTTGTAGAAGAGGGTCGCCATTTTGTATTTTATTTTGACTCGGTTCTCGGTCCCCCGACTACCTACGAGTCTGGATTTTTTTACGCACAAATGATTTGGGCACCTAATACTCTGTGCCAAATATTAACGCTCGACATGTACTCCTTCATACCTCTATGCTGGTAACATAAAACGACAGTACGATTTTATAAACAAAACATAGTCTTGTCAATAAATGGATATTAAATATGTGGCTTGTATTATCTAGAACAGGAGTCGCCAAAGTGGTCGATATCGACCCCCGGGGTTCCATATAACATTATTTGGGATCGATGGAAAAAGTAAAAGTAAAAATCAGAAATATAACTACACATTATGTTTTTGAATATTCTTTTTAATGGATTTATTAGTACGTTTTGCAGATTTAGAAAATATTGATATCCCAGATTGGATTATGGTGCTATTTTCCACTCAAATCGAAAACGTTCACATCAACTTGCAAGATGAACTTATCGAATTATTAGCTGATCTTGAAGAAAAATCGCTTTTAAAAATTTAAATTTTAGCAATTTCTGGACGAATATAAATATAACACAAAAATATACAAAACTTTGTGATATGGTAAATCCTTTCTTGCTGGTATTTCCAAGTTCGTATAAGGTTGAACCTGGATTAGCCATGATAATTCTATCTTAACCAAACAGAGAAATAAGTCGAATGTGGAACTTTCAGGAAAACATCTAACACTTAGAAATTTTGAAGCAAATATTGTTAATCTTGCTAATGTCGTTTTCTCTACCACGAGAGTATATACAGTAGAGCCTCAATTATCCGACTCAATTGGGGACTGGGGTTGGTCGGATAATTGAAAAGTCGGATAACCGAAAAGTATGAAAAAATCCATTACAGTAGAGCCTCGATTATCCGACCCAATTGGGGACTGGGGTTGGTCGGATAATTGAAAAGTCGGATAACCGAAAAGTATGAAAAAATCCATTATTACTGTAGAATATTATTATATCCCATGTAATTAGTATGTTAGTATATCGCTATTAACCTACTTCGCGTTGAATTTTCATCGATATTAAGCCTAACAAAAATTTTTAAAATAATAATCGTCGCTATTGTATCGTTAAAAATCAGAAAATTAAGCCTCATTTAAATACTAGCTCCCTTTCATGGTCGATCCCGTGTTGCCAGCTAAAACACGTAAAAATAATATTAAAGTATAGCCAAGACATAGCCAAATATTGTAGCGCCACATCACTAGCGGACATTTGAAATTTGCCCACTAGGACGGTCGGATAATCGAGGCTCTACTGTAATGACATCATTACAGTAGAAGCCGAAACTGGCCGATATGGCAGTTTACTGCTGTGGGTCCACTGGTAGGTCCGTTGTCCTTTGCAACTTCGTCCTATGTTGACTAAAATCAAATTCCTTGTTTTCTAGTTCAAGTTATCCACGAGTGCAACCAGAGTCGCCTTGTAGGAGTGCTGATCTGACATTGAATCATAGAGTTTGAAGCTTTTTTTTTTATTTCCGCCCTGGGGCGCTAAGAGGGCCTCTTTTTAGCTGCCCAATTATGGGTTCGGTCAGGCCCATAATGGTGCGGCTGAATGGTGAGAGACGGGGCCCGACATATCCGAACGAACCACTCCACGTAAAATTCCTGGGGATTTTTCGACCCAGTTCGGATTTGATCCCGGGTCTCTCGGAGCGGTAGGCTGGGGTACTCGGGATCGAATCCTGTTTTAATTTTACTGTTTTAAATGTAGTTGTAAAAGTGATTTTAACATTTTCTTATAGATCTACTATATTCGATAATAAATTTAATATTTGTTTTTAGTATTTTAATTTGTTTTTGTAGTCTGTATTCTATACTGTGGGATGTAGGAATTCTTTATCTATTATTATTATTATTAATGTACAGTACGTATTGGCTTAATAAAGAAATCTATTAGTCATTGTATAATTTTTTGCAATCTACTTTGCAGATAAAATGAGTGTTCTCGACATAGTAAATTACAGTGTGTGAATATATTTTGAGTCTTGCAATCCTTATTTCTGATCAGTTTACATGCTTGTAAATTGGTCGAAAACATTTATTATGATTAAAGTTATTGCTGAAAAAGCACGAATGGTGTATTTTATTCATTTATTTTATCGTCAAATCTCGGGTTATTAATTAAACAGGAACTTTTTGAGTTGGCTACTTTTGGGCTACTTTTTAGAAAATTTTTGGCTACAAACACTAAAAACATCTGGCAATGTTGGTTTCTTTGTTTCGTTTGTAAGGAGGGAAAAATGACCGCGATGCTGCAGAAAATGTCAGGTAATTAGACGAAATGTTTTATCCACCCTTGCTATAACGGGTAGGAGCTCGCCATTATCGTTCTTGGATGACGAGGGCGAGTGTCGGATTAATGTCAGTGTCAGTCACAAAAGAATAGGAGGCTTGCATGTACCGTTTATGGTGAGTTTATTGTTGAGGAAATACAGTCGACCCCCCATAACACTGTTGATAATTCCGTGTTATATGAATTCCATGTTGTACGAGTCGCTTCGATTTTGCAAATACGTGAGCCGTTCACAGCCCGGAACACGTACTTGTAAAATATAAGTGACTCGTATAACATGGAATTCATATAAAACGGAATTATCAACAGCGTTATAGGGAGTTCGACTTGTATACCGTTCTTATATTTTAAAGATAAGCATTAATAACGTGTTACGTCGTTAACTTCGTCACTTAATATTAACCCGTTACCTCTATTCCCAATTAAGTTTATATAATAATAAAATTAAGGGTATATTAATTAATGACAATCATTATTGGTAATTATTATTTTGCCTATGTTTAATAATAATTTTATTTATTTAAGTATTGTCATAAAACTTCGTAAGATGATAGAAAATTACATATAAAAAAATAAATCATTCTCCTGTGAAATTGTATTTATTTGAAGTTATTCTTTTTAATTAAAACAGCGATACCCAAACAAGGTTAGGCTTGGTCTAGAGCAGGGCTTCTCAAACTATGGGTCGCGACCCCATTTGGGGTCGCTTAGCAAAATCTTGGGGTTGCAAGATTTTAATGCAGAATATTGAAAATAATTTGTGAGAGTTTGAAAATGGCATGCTTTGTGTCTTAGGTTTCATGAGTTGCGCTTTGTGTCACTTCTGGTGCAGCAAGACAACGATTCAGCAACACTGATTGTAGTGTGAACTAGTGTAGTGTTGTCGCTTTTCAGTGTATTCAGTTGTCTCTGTTCCATTGTAACACAAGAGTGAACTGTGGTAGTACACCATTATTGTTTTTGTAAATTTGTATATATCTTTATTTTATATTTTTTGGGTCGCGAAAAAAATCACAATCATAAATGGGGTCGTGAATAAAAAAAGTTTAAGAAGCCCTGG